GATACTGTATATCTGATGAAAAAGGTTATAAACATATTAACGTAACACTGTAATATTCGGTATTTTTCTACAGGATTTGATATCCTTTTGCATTTTCTGTTATAAATCCTTTAATTTTACTTTAATGGAGCAAATTAGATGGTTGATTGGGTTATATGGTAATGAACAATTGTACATAGAAAAAAAAAGTGTGCTTTATTATTTACCATTATCGTATTATTATAATAAATTTACAATGAAAAAAAATTACTTTTACGTAGATCGACTTACGACCAATTTTTTTTAGATACTATCGATCTATCGATATACAGTATATCAGTTTATCAGTTTAGAGATATAATAAACCTTTTACGGCAGGGTGAAACCTGCTCACCTAAAGTAGTGACTAACCCGCGGATTTCACCTTTCATAACGATAACTTTTAAACTATTTGATATAAGGGGGTATAACTGTATGCAAATAAACAAAGTACGAAACATTCATAGTAGATCGTAAATATACCGTAAATTTTAAAAATAGGAAAATGAGAAGTTTACACGATATGTAATCTTATTTTTCGGGCCAATCATTACGTTACACGAACGGCTAATTACATACTGTAGTTATTTACCGAAGTTCTAATAATTATAAACCAATAATCGAAAAGGATAAACGAAGAAAATAAGTGATAATGGTATGAATTACACGAATTCAAAATTCAAAAAAAGCAAAAAAAGCATATATAGCATGAACTGACAATATTTGTTTGGGATGACAAACATGCGTAATTCTCGTTCCAAATCTGTTTACATTAATTAAACGTTAGTCGCACTAAGTACGTATGTTGCGCGAAAATGTATCTTAAGAACTTGAGTTTGTTTGTTTGAAAACTTGAATTCGCTTACTCGGTCACCTTTTTCTCTCACATACATACATACATACATTCTTTTACTATATATGCGCCACAATATCAGAGGTATATGCTTTGTCCTACTTTTAGTTATCCCGATTTCCTTTCTGACGACTTTTTTTTTTCCTCAAGATTAAAAGTAATAAAGGTGTAGAACACAATGACATATCAAAGCGATTCGGAGGACGATTTATTCGTCCATAGCATGACCTTAAAAAAAGCGCGAGCATTGATAGATAACCCTCGTTCTCACCAAGTTATTACCCTTGCAAGTTGTGGTAAAAAAGTTGGGGTCTGTGAAGTTGGAGACCCAGAAGGTTATCCTGTGCTTTGGCTTACAGGTACATACATACATTTATCTATTTTCCTTTCTTAATCAATACAACAAATTATCTATATTTATTTATCTCTTTTTTTCTAAATTTTTATTTCATTCTAGGAAACATGGGTCCAGCAATGTCAATCCTTTTATATCATAATCTTGCAAAACGACATCATATTCGTCTAATTTCGGTGGATAGACCTGGCTATAATGATAGTGACGATATTTATTCACGATCTGGTGTTCCAGACTTATTTGAATTTGCTGATATGATCAACGAATTGACTTTGATATTAAAAATGTGGCAATTTGGTATGGCTACTTTTTCACTTGGCGCCGTTTACGGTTTGGCTTATTCACTTAATTTCCCTGAGAGAATTAAAGGTCCGATATTTACGATTAGTCCTTGGGTGTCAACTAGTACACCAGGACATTTACTTTATTATAAAGGTTTGTATAAATTTTGGTGGATCTATTAGATCTAATCTTTACTGTTAAAATTTTACCTTCCTTTTGCTTTTTTTTTTACTTTTTTAAAGGCATCGCAAAATTTGCTCCAAATTTCTTAATCCGTACTACTTTAAGCACCCTACCACACATGACCAACTTTTTTAGTATGTGGAGCACATTAGGCTCCTCATCTCCTCGCGCTTCCACATCCTCTTCCCTTAGATCTCAATCATCATCAGCATCATCCTCAACAATTGATGATGATCCGATGACTCTTTCCGTCGAAAGTGTGATTAGTACAATATCTCCAGGTCGTAGTTATATACACAAAAAGATTTATCAAAATGGTTTATGGAATTTACAAAATCGTACTGGTGCACATATTGATGCTATGGTAGCATTAGAAAAAGTTGATTGGGGCTATAAATATGAAGATACTACACATCCGATTCAAGCTTATGTAGGTGAAGAAGATGAAAATGTTCCGTTACAAGCTTGGACATATATGAGTAATAGAATGGATAATTTAAAATTAAACGTTGTTAAAGATGGTGGTCATTATTTGTTATATAGAATGGATTTCATGGAAGAGTTATTTACAACAATTGAGTCCACTGTCAATTCATAAATAATACCAGTAGATTATACAATAGTAAACCATTAATAATGAGAACAAGGTTTTTCTTTATTATATAATAATATTACATAATAATAGAAGTATGATATCGAATATATATTGTGTATTTTAGTGTATACATACAATTTTTATTAAAGAAAAATTATTCGATGACACGTAAAACCGCCAGACTTCGAAAAGACTGTTTTTCATTCTAACCTTTAGTGCATATCACAATTCCCTAATCGTTATACTAATAATTTACGTCAGCATTAGCGAATTTTAACTTACATTTTATACAAAAGTAAATAATATTTTAACCCAATAAATATAACTACCTCCAAGCGAAATTCTGGTAATATTGGTCACAAAAGAAGAAAAAAAAAAAAAGAAATTCATACTTATGATTGTTTTACCGCCAGAACTGCCGATGGAACAAGATCTATTTCAAAAAAATGCATAAATAGATAAATAAAATAAATAAATAGATACATAAATAAATAAATGAATAGGTTAGTGTACATATATGCATTTATATGTTGTGAGAACTGAATTTAATAAAATCATAATCTTAGGGTAGAATTTATCCTAACCCTAAAATCCTATGGAATCAAATTCCACTTAAATTCTGTTATATATATACAGTTACTTACCCAAATCCTTTAAGGTCTTTTGCATTTCATCATCTTCAAACACTTTCCTACAAGGTACATATAAAATAGAATCATAAGTAATAAACAAAGAATCAAATAAATTCTTACAAAAGAAAAGCTCTATACCTTGGAAATGTCGTCATCAATTGGAATGGGCCAACAACATGTTGACTAACATGATCGTGTACAATTTGCAAAGTATCGGTAGCTTGAAATGTTTGAGTGATAGGCGCTCCTGCTGGTGGTCGAATCTTTAGAAAATAATCAAAAGAACGAATTAATTCAATTCGACCGAATATTTAAATCAATAAGTATATAAAAGCCGGACCTGTAATCGTGTTTCGGTGTATTCTTTCTTTGATGCAGCTAAAGCGGCGGCTGCTTCGGCGGCGGCTTCTTCCTGTTTTTGAACTTGAATCGCTTGTTTTGCCGCTTCACGCTATAAACATTAGTGATTGTCAATGGTTAATTATTTAGGACACAATTTCAAATAAACTTGTATTAATAATTTTACTCATCACCTTTGCCGCTCTTTCCTTTTTATCTGCTTCGATCTGCGCCTTTATTTTAGCCTTAGCAATTTTGTCATCCTCCTTTTCTTTCTTTTTCGCCATTAATAACTTTTGCATTTCCTTTTCTTCCATTTGATTTTTGGCTTCTGTCAATTCTCTACCAGATTGTCTTCGCATTCTTTCACGATTTCAACATCTGCAATTTTTGAAAATAAGTCACTTAGCTTCTCAGTAATACTATTTTTCTTTCTTTTCTTCTTCTGTTAATGGCTTGATAGCAGTGGTCGATTCAGAAAAATTTACATGACCTGTTTGAATTCATCAATTGTTTATTAAAATTAAACTTAATCGTCGGCATAAAAGATTTTTTTTAATGTAATTACCAGTTTTAGTTGCATGAATTTGCGCAGCGTTTGCTAGAGAGTTTGTAATTTATTTGATTTAGTTAAAAAAAAAACAGGCAATCCATTTATTTTCATAAGAATGTCAAATACACATAAACTTTACCATCACGAAGTAATTTCTGACAATCATTACATTGTAAAGATTGTGCTGTTTGTTCTCCATCCTGAATTTCACCATCTCCAATTGAAACAATGATTAATAACGATAATCTTTAACAAATTAGAATAACCAAATATATTGATGACTACCATCTTGATCTTCGGAAGTGCTACCAATAGATTCTCCAGCTGGACGTTCACCTAATGTTTGACCAACTGGCTCGTCTTCAAGTTCACCAGGATGAGCAATTAACCTAGGATATGTTGAAATGTATATTAAATGTATCTTTATCGCAACATAAAATTTAAACATAGTATTATTCGTCAACTCACCAATCCATTGCAGGTTGCAGTCCGGCACCTTTTGTAACCTTCAAAGCGCGGGCCCTAAGGACATTTAATAAAGCTTGCTTTTAATGACGTCAAGATATAGATTGCGCAAAATATGTATCCTGTTACAGACAGCTTATCATAACTATATTTAATTCTTACACCTTGTCCGGTGGAAATCCCATATCGATCAACGTGTCATGATCTGATTTTGAACTCATAATTGTAGACGTTTAAAGAAAGTAAAATAGTGTGATCGAATACACATTACGTCTATTAACATATCATCGTCATATATGTACTTACATACGTTACATACATACGTCACTTTGTGCCAAGCTGTCAAGTATACAGTATATGCATGCCCATTCTTAGTGCGTTGTACGAGTCAATAATGGTAATGATTATATTGATATAAATATAACGATGCCAATTTTTTACAATTCATATAATTCATATTCAGGTATTGTAAAAATGAGCAACTTACAAGTTCCGACGAATAGTGGAGAGCGACAAGGTTCTCTACTTGACACAATTAAAACCTTTAACTTGGATAATATACAACATGATATACGTCGTAACCTTGCGCAAGTAGATCCGAGGTTACCCAAAGAAATAAAGAATATTGCACTTTTAGTTACGGAAGAAAAAAACGTATTGACAAGTTTGCAACATGTTTCAGCGGAAAGAAAAGAAGGTGAATAAATTTAGGCAAAATTTCTTTGTGAATCCTTGTATCCGAGCCTGAATTTTTGAAACCATTTTTTTGATTTTATTTAATAAAGCAAGTAAACTTCTTCATGTGTGGGGAAAAGATGTTGGAGACGACATTTCCGTATGTTAATCGAACATTTACATATATATGTTTGCTTATTTCTTAATTATATGATGTTGATTTGTATCAATTTTATTATTTTTTTTTTTTTGTAGGATATTACTGAGAAGCTAAGTGACTTATTTTCAAAAATTGCAGATGTTGAAATCGTGATGATTGGTAAAATTTTTTTCTAAATTTTTGTCTTGTATACCAAATTATTACTATAAAAAAAAAAAATTAATTCACTTCATACAAATTAGAAAAAGCTGGACATTACCGTAAGATTCTTAAAAAAATTCGTGAGGCGGAAGAAAAATTAATCCCTCATAGAGAAAAAAGACGTAAAATCCAGGAGGAAATTCAAAAAATTCAAAAATCCCATCCAAAATCACCACGTATTCCAGAACTCCAAGCAGATCTTGCATATGTAAATAAAGAAGCTTCAAATGATGAAATAGAGGTTGGAAATGTGATTAGGAAACATCTAAAGGAAGCATTAACATTACGTCTTGATTCTATGTTTGAATGCTCGGAAAAAGTTGCAATTGTTACTGGTTTTGGATTGGAGCTTGTTAATCAAATTGATACTACGCCATGCAAAACTGGTGAGAAAAGACCAGAATATAAAGGTTAGTTTTTCACGATTTTCCTGAAATCTATTATTGCTATTATCATTATGAATATCAAAATGAATATAAAATAGGAAGGGAAAGCTCCCATCAAATAGTCAAAGATTGTCAAGTCTCCTTGCTCCGCTGGCAATCATCATCCCAAAACATTCACGCTCTTTTGCCTGCCTTAACCAATACCGCTCCTGCGGCGTTGGCTGCTCAAAAAGAAGAATATGAACAAAAGATCCAACAACTTACTAGTTCAATGAATGCTTTGAAAGATGAACATGATAAACAAATTAATGAATTTTCTAGTAAATTTGAAAATCAGAAACATGAATACGAGACACAAATCAACGATTTTATCGCCTCTTTAGCCGCCCAAAAAGAAGGTTATGAGGCACAACTTAACGATTTATCTGCCGCCTTATCCACAGAAAGGGAAACGGTTGCACTGAAAATTAAAGAGTCTAATGCTTCTTTAGAAACTCAAAAAGAGCAATATGAGGCAAAAATAAGAGACCATTTTCAATCTTCAGAGACAAAAATAAACGAATTGACTGCTGCATTGGATGCTCAAAGGAAACAATATGATGAGCAACTTCAGCAATATAATGCTTTATTGTCTACGAAACAAGAATTTGAGGTTGCACTGAGAGAACGTGATTCAATTATTACTAAACTTCAAACTGATATCAGTGGCGTTGCAAGTGAAAAAGGAAAGCTAAGTCAAGTTGTAAAAGAATTGGAGGAAACTATCAAATCTAAATCGACCACACTTGAACAAAAAGAGGATAAAGTTGGTAAATTAGAGAACGAAATTTCCAGTATAAAGGATCAACTTGCTAATTTATCAATTAGCGCAAATGCTACAAAGCTCTCAGATCCGGGTAATCGTTCTAATAGTAAATCAGCTGATGAGGCTTCTTCAGATCCTCTGATTGGACCACATGTTCCACCATTCCAAGCTGGCGGACAACAACCGCCACCATCTGGTGGTGGATATGTGTACCAAGGACCGTATGGAAATTATAGTCCACAACCTCCTCAGTTCTATCAAGGTCAACAACAGTTTTATACCCCGGGTCAATCACCATATGGCTATCAGCAACAACCCATTTATGGACAGCAAGGACCACCTTCAGGCTATCAAGCATCAGGTTATCAGCAACAGCAACCTTACGGGCAACAAGGTTCATTTGTTGGTGGATTCATGCTTCCCGATGATGCACCTCCAGGTTAGCGATCAAAATACCATTAAATACAGTATGAATGTTAAATAGTATTTTGTACTAATAAAATCAATTTATTATTTAGCATACGATGGCCCTAAAGAAGGTTATAAGGATGATAAAAAAGAAAAGAGTTAAAAAGTTATTAGGCTTTTTATGAAATCTAAGAATTTTAGATTTATATTTAAATCTTCCAAATTTATATTTAAATATTCCAAATTTATATTTGCAGAAATGTAATTATTATTTATACAATATTATATCATATTCAATAATTCATGTATTTTTTTTTCATTTAACAAGAAATAGTGATCAGGATGTGTTAAAATTTATACGTAATTTCTTATGATTATATGGAAATATAAACATCTTTGTACAAATAATATAAAAATAACAAATAAGAATTCATTGTGTTTGTATCATGTCATCGATTTAGCTAAATCGTACGAATATCGGATAAAGTTTTTTAAGTTAAATGCGTGCACCTTTATCAACAGAAGTACTATTATAATTATCGGTTGCACCGTAATACGGTAAAGAGGATGGTGTATCATTTGGAGAGATGTTATCGTGTTCTTCAGGCAATCCATCACTAAAATCGTTACTTTCTTCTTCAAAGACAATAGTGTTTGTACGTAAGAATAAGTCACGATATTTAGTATCAGTCGTGATGATGACATTAGCTATCCAATGCAATTGAAGAAAGAAGAAGGATGAAGCAATTAAAATAAGATCATATCCTTGGGTTGGACGTTTGTGTTGAAAAATGAGATTTGCTTTAAAAATTATATACAATGAAGAAATCTGATAGTAATATGAATAGAAAAAAAAAATTTGAATTAATATTAATAAAGTAATAGTAGAAACACGCTAAAATATAACTTACACAACAAGCGCCACCCAGCAAGTATCGCGATTTACTGATCCAAGTGGAAGAAGATACTTTTAACACAACAATGAATCTAAAAAGAGCTAGTATGATCATATCCCATTCAGCTCTATTCCAATGCCAACCAGTTTCAGCATTATAAATTGAAAAATAGGAACAGATAAAAACAATAGCAATATCCAAGGTACCAAATAAATATAATAAAAATTCAAATTTAGGTCTTGGAGGTGGTTTTTGTCTTAATGATACCAAAAGAAAAGGGTCTGCCTGACTATCAATAAATATATCGTCCTCTGGTGGATTTACAGGAAGAATTATACCGCCAGCGTTCGTAATATCTCCATTTGAAAGAATGGGGCTCTCCACAAGACCATTTTCAAATACACCAATGTTACCATTAGCAGTTGAAGATTCGGCATCTACATGCGGTATATTAAGGTAGTTTGACATATAACGATGTTTTGGTGGTAATATTGGTCGTTTATGTTCGTACGATGATTCTACCAACACTGCGTTTGAACCTTGCGAGCTCATGGTTTATATATTAGTTATAATGACTGTACAATAAAATTGTTCCATGTGAAAATGAATTTGCAAGTGTTAGAAAAAAATTAAATTGAAATTTTTTTTTTATATTTTACATAAGTTTTCGTTTTTTTTTCATGCAAAAACTTCGCAAATACATTTGTGCCTAAGGCAAAAAGAAAAAAAATTGGAAAAAAAAAAATTTTTTTTAAAGAATGAATGTTTGGTACGTACATGCACACAATTTTTATGTCGCGCATATCGGAGTAGTTTGTATAACTCAATTTCACACAAACCAATTTTGGTCAACTTCCTATTTCGTTGGCTATATATATTTTAAATTACAACTAAAGAATAGTTAAGTGGATGGATTATGATATCGTAACTGGTTTAACAACCTGGTTTAACAACTTATTTGTCTGATGTAAGATGTGCAACTAGGATGTTTGTCACAGCTTAAAAATTCGACATCGCATGACATTAGCAAAAATTCATGCCATTGGGCTAGAGGTTGGAACCGGTTTTAATAATTCGGGGTTATCACGTGAATTTTGTGATATTTTAGAATTTATTAAATTTTAATTGGATTAAATTCTAAAATATCACAAAATTCATGTGATAAACCCGAATTATTAAAACCGGTTCCAACCTCTACATTGGGCATGACTTAACACAAATTTATATATTGATAAATATTATTTATATGGGGTTTTGTGTAATTTCGTCATCATAACGATGTAACACTACTCCTTAATCAGCCAATCGGGATGCAAGATCAGGAATAACGTGACAATTTTTTTCAACTCGAAATTTCTTCGCTAAATTTTGGGTTAGAACCTTTCTATAATCACCCTACTCTAACCTTAATCTAACCTTAACCCTAACCCTAAACTATTGAGTTATTGTTTTGATTATTTAGTAGGTAGGAACTGAATTTAGGTTAATTCTGAATTTTTAAGGTTAAGGTTGGGATTTTTAATATAATGATTCTGTTCTAATCTAAGTGGATTCTGAAATCTATTATGGTTCCATTTCCACTTACAACAATTACACATTACACCTGATCTTATAGGGTGTGATATAAAATATAATTTTTTTTTCTATTTATTGTCTGAATACAGAATAAAATTTGATGCTCAACGAACGCAATCTACACGGCTAAAATATCAAAGCATAATGCAAATCCAGTTTATATAGAAAGATTAGATAATTTTCAGTTTCTATAAAACAATTATGTGATTTAGCGGTTGGTGAAATCCATTTGAGTTAGGGGTTCCTCACTTAACAAATCTACCGCGTTCTCCTATATAAGTTTAAATTTCATATTACAATCAGCATACATTTTACAATCAATAATCATTTCAGTAATAGAATTATCAAAGCCGTAAATGAAATCACAAACTCAAAAGACATACCATAACTTATAGTTTCAGAATGTATAGTGCCTATTAAAAGATAAATTTTGAAGTAATTGAACTTGTTAAAACATTGCTTGAAATTTTGTGATTATAGTACCACCATCTAGGGTTGTAAAACTTACAATAATTTCTTACAAGCAATTTTTATATGTTCACTTATCCAAAATTATGTAAGTTGTTGTGTAAGTTATAATGTAAGTTTACGTGTAAGTTATAATGTAAGTTTACAACACTACCACTATCACCATTTTTTCGAGCAAATTTCGTTGTGAACCCATTCGTGAGCAAAACCTACGGCTAAGAGCTGGGTGCAAACATCCCGACCTCGTAGGCATTATATGACCACGATACGCTAACATTTTCGGTATAGATACCTAAATTATTCTGGCTTGCCGTAAATAAAAATTGCCGAAAATATTTTAGGCAGCCTAAACCGTAAATAATTTCGGTTGCCTAAAATATTTTCAGATGCCGAAATTTTTTCAGACGCCGTAAATATTTTCGGATGTCATTATGCGTAAATTTTACAGCTGTTATTCATAAATTCGGCCAATTCGATTAAGTTCGTAATCATATGGGCGAAAATCTCCAGTTGAAACACAGTGATTATTAAAAATTAAGTGATATTATAATTATGTACGTACGTAC